AAGTGTTTCTCCTGGTCTCCAGTTAGGCCCTGAAATGAGCACATCTTGGCACATCTTGGCACCATCCATCATATGGGAAGCAGGGCTGGCAGCAGGCCTGGCTCAGAGCTCCTGGAGGAGCAGGGGTTCATGCTGCTCTGTGCTGGGAGCAAGCCTTTGCTCTTGCTGTGGCAGACAGTGGTCCTGTGACAGCCAAGCCCAGAGCCATCCCCAGTGCAGGTCACTGATGCTCAGCACCCAACCTAATTCTACCAGTAACCAACTGTTACGGCTATAAATCTTAATGGCTGGCTCTGCAAGCCACCAGCACTACCCCTTCTCATGATTAATAGTAATAATTTAATCCATATAAAGCCACAGAGCAATGTCACACGGCAGCGCAGCAGTAACAACCACTGCTGAGACACTGACAGCCCTGGTGGGATGAGCAGGCAATGCACTGCAGCCCCAGGAGGCTCTGCTGATTTATAGTGGGGCAAATCAGCTCGTGCCTGTGTGCCCAGGGAAGCTGGCCTGGTGGCTCCCTCAGGCCAGGCCCAGCAGCATCCAGGGCAGCCACAAGCACCTCCTCCTTCCCACACCACACACCAGGGATGGGATGGGCAGTGCTCACAGCTCCAGGCATTTGTCCGGGGACCCTCCTCGGCTGCCAGCGCAGCAGCCACTGGCCAGCACTGCAGAAATCCTGGGGATGTGTCCAGGCCCATCATGAGGCCGGAGCAGCATCTTCCCACCATGTACAGTCACAACATGCAACGCACACGGGACCAGCCTGCTTGCCCTGCACCTCCACCAAGCTTTTTGCACAGACCCCTCCTCTGCCTTGCTGGCTCAGAGCCAGCCCCACCACCCCCTGCCCACCCCGGCTGCAGCACCCCAGCCCCTGCCTGGGCAGCACCGTGTGCCCTCAGACCTCGGGGCTGCTCCCCAAGGCTACACCTGAGCAAGATAATTTGCATGGAGCAGAGCAAAGGTCTTGGGTCCACCCAGGGAAAAAGCCCGAGCAAAGTGCAGCAGAGATTGTCCTTGGCGGTGTTTGCAGTGAACACAGCCCCGGGCGGGCACCCCGGGGCGGGCACCCCCAGGCACCTCCCACCGCCCCCCCCCAGGGCAGCCCCGCAGCCCCCACCTCCCCGGCACAGCTCCCTGGCACCAGCAAAGGGCTCTTGTTAACAGAATATAATGTGCAGTGAAAATAATTTATCATCATCTTGTACCAACTGATGATCTGTCTCCCAAAACGCTGCTTTGCTGGTACGTTACGGGGCTGCTGCTTTTCCCCGCAGAGCCCGGCCCAGGCTGAGCCCCGTCCTGCCCGCAGGGCCAGGGCTGAACTGGGACACTTATTGCCAAGAGCGGGCAGAGAGCTCTGCGCTGGGTAGAAGCGGGAGCCAGCCTTGTTCCGCAGGCTCCCGGGAGGAAGAGGAGGAGGAGGAGGAGGAAGCCTTCCCCGAGGGCGCGTCCCTCGGCGCGGCCCCCCCGGAGCCGGCGCTGGGAACGGCAGCGATTGTTTGCAGAGCCGCGGCCCCGGCTGCTCGGCTGGAGCTGCACACTCAGCAGAACCCAAATCTCCCGAAAAACCTGAATAAACTCCAGGGGTGAAGCAGGAGCTGGGCAGGCACCCAGACCTCCTCCTCATGCCTGTCACATGAATGAGCTCTGCTGCCCAGCTCCCCCCTCTCCGGCGAGGGGATTGTGCCGCATTGTGGGGAGGATTAGGGCAGTTCAGGAGGCTGGAGCCACTGTACATGCAGGGCTGCTGTGTCCCCCCCGAGCCTGTCATAGCCCTCACAGTACCACAGACACCGTGGCAGGACTGTCCTGCCCACAGAAAGGGGAAATGGGCTCCCATGGGGCTGGGGTGCACTTGGGCAGCCCCAAGTAAGAGGGTGGGTGGACACCCCAACAACAGGGCAGAGGTGGCAGCAGCTCCCCCGGCCCTATTGCCATGGGGGGGTCACCCAGTGACATCCCTCAACAGCCCCCAGATTGCCCAGAACCAGGAAGAAGGAGAGGAGGAAGGGCAGCCCTATGTGCCTGGCAGTCCCCAGCTCCAATGCCAGCTGGGGCTCCATCAGCAGCACCTGGCACCAGTTCCCAACCAGAGCAACCACCCGCTCCCCTGGGAGCCCCCGAGCCCCCTCAGCCACTGCCAAGCATTTCTGGCTGACAACCTCAGATGTTTGGGAAAACAAACTGCACGGGAATTAGCTCTCAAGTATTTCCTCAATTCTGCCCGCTATGAAGAGAATTTTATTGTGCTCCCCCTGGGAGGAAGGAAGGGAGCCTGGCGGAGCACGCAGAGGAAATCAGTGCAATAACTCATGGGCTGGCTTCACCGAGCTGCCATCAGCAGGTCTGGCACTGCCTGGACACGGCCACCAGCAGCCTTTGGCCCAGGGAAGGGGAAGCACCACATCCCTACCACCTTTCCGGAGCCCTCTGCAGACACTGCCTCAGCAGATCCTCACTGCTGAGGTGACACAGTCCCCTGGGTTCATGCCTGGGACACCAGCTCCTGGAGAGGAGCACCTTCCTGAAGGCACCAAGAGCTGGTTTGAGCATCCATCACCATGGCAAAAGCTCCCACCAGTCACACCAGGGATTATTTTAGCCCCTGGGTAGGTAACAGGCAGGCACTATGGAAGTCAAGCACCACTTTAGTACTTCCTAGCACTGCAGATGCCTTTGCTCACAGAAATGCAGTGATTAAACAGAACGTGACTCCTTTTCCCGGCTGGGCAGAGGGACAGGCACAGGGAGTACTGCCTGGCCAGGCCACACGGGGCAGAGTCCAGAGCCTGCTGCAGTGACAGCAATCACACCTCCTCCAGCTTGAGTCACACAGGGCAAGGGCAGCTTCCTCCTCCACCTGCCCTTCCACTAGTGTGTTCCACAGAAGGTCCCAGACAGACCAGGGAGCCAGGACAGAGCTGACACTCAGCAGAGATGGCGTGGGACACAGGATTTACTACCGACGTGTTCCCAGCCAGGCAAGTTCAAGCAGCAAGTAGTTAAAACATTTTTTTTCCTTAGAAGAAGGGCTGGTGCCTCAGCCCCCCATGCAGGCTGTGGCAATACCTGTGGTACCAGTCCAGGGCACACCCAAGAGGCCCTGCCTGGGGGCCAGACAGCACAGAGCAAGGGCTGGGGGCTTCCCCCTGCAGAGGACCAAGGACCCCTCAAGCAGAGGCACCAGCAGCACTTTGTGTCCCCCACCACAGCCCCCTGCCCAGTCACCCTCCACCAGGGAGGCCTGGCCCCAGTACACTCCAACTCACACACAGAGGGGAGCAGAGGGCAGGCAGCTCATCTGCAACTCAAAGATTCACACCTACAAAAACAGGGACAACATCAGGGGCAGCTCCTCAGGGTTGATTTATTGTGACATGAACCCATTACTGCAGCTACAACAGACCATTTATGAAAATGTTACTTGGCTTTACAGTATCACAGCTCAGCACTGTACAACAAAATCCTTTTGTACAAAATACTCTGTTGGCTTTATAAAGTTACTCTACAGTATGAAAACACCCTGACCTGCTTTCCGTGAGATTTGGACCTAAATGAGGCCCAAAGTGGCCCTGCAGCAGAGGGAGGACAGCAGTGGCCTCACTCAGCTGGCAGAGGGAGATAGCACAGACAGACAGGGAGAGTCAAACATGAAAGTGTGTCCAGCCCCCTCACAATAAAGAGGGATCTCATGGATTTCACAGGCATCCTGTAAGGAGGGACAGGGGAACAGAAACATCTTTAAAAATAATGTATATGGGGACACTCAGCTGCAGCCAACCCAAGCTCCAATCAAAGTCTCCTTTGGCAGCTGAGGAAGAGTCTGGGAAGGGGCATCTTGATGGGGAGCAGCTTCCACAGTTGGTGGGACTTGTTTAGCAGGAGCCTTAGGATGCTGGAGCATGGTAGGGAGCCAGTTCTGCCACAGCCCCACTCACCTCTCCCCAAAACTGACCCAAAATACACATCACCTGGCACACAGAAGTGCGATTCTAGGAAAGAAGTTCAACATTGGATGGGTAAATTGTAAAAAAACAAGTTTATTTGAAAAAACCCAAAAACCTCAGCCTCTTACATGATTTCTGGTCAACATTTACTAGAACTTGAGAGCCATTAACCTGCTCCACGTACGTTGGGATATTTTCCAGCACTAAAAAATAAAAAATAAATACATACAAATTCTTTCCTCCCCCTTACATGTCCTAGAGGTGAGTGGTTCAGCATCCACCGCCTTAAGGTCTCAGTTGAACAGAAGCAAGTAAAAGAGGTTTCTCTAAGAGATAAAAGAGCAAAAGCAGAGGGCCTGTCCCAGGGATGTACCACCTCCACCTGCCCCACAACACCCTGACCTGGCACCACCAGCCAAGCCCCTGCCTTCACACCCCCTTCACATCACCCAGAACGGGGCTGGGGAGAGGCACTGCCAGGGCAGAGGGGGAGACAGGGGAGACCCCAGCCCTCCCCCACCGAGGGCTCAGCTGCAGGGGCCGGAGCAGGCAGGGCTCCCCAGCCCAAACCACAGCCATCCTTCTCCAACCCAGATACCCCATGAGAGCACAACTACAAAAAAAAAAAAAAAAAAAAAAAAAAGAGGGTTTTTAGTGGCAACACAGAGGACCAGCGTAAGGGAACACAGATTCGGTTTTGATTTCAGGAGCCCCCGGGCACGGGAGCCGAGGACCACCCTGCCCCTGCCCAGACCCCCCCTCGGCGGAGGGCCAGCGGTAAGAAGCGTGTGAAGCAGAATTCATCCGGGGCCGGCCCTGAAGCCCATCGTGCTTCAACAAATCCAGTATCCTGCTTTTTATGGCTTTTTAACAACAAAGCTCCCCCAAACGCACACGTACACACACACCCCACCCCGAGCAGAGCACAGAGCTAAAGCACAGTTTAGAGTTAAGGCTCATCCAGACTCAGCTAGATATGAAGACTGTAAGGCACGTATTAGTACATTCATGTTACTGTTAAAAAGCCAGACTATAAAAAGCCCCCCCCCAGCCCCCCTGACGCACAAGGATACTGCGTGTGTAGCCCTGTTACCTTTGTTGAACACAGATGGAAAGACAATTCAGAGCCTGGTTAAAAATGAACACCTGGTTTAAACACTTCTCACGGCCGCCCAGCACCAGCGGAGCGCTGCCCCAGCCCCCGCGCCAGGGCAGCGGCGCCTCCCGACACCCCGGGATTGAGACCAGTCCCTCACATGTGGCTCTCCTCCTCTTTGACACCATCCTCCGTGCTCTTCTGAGGCGAAGGGGCCACGTCGTTGTTTGCCTCTTTCTGCTTCTCAGCCTCATCAACGTTGGTCTCCTCCTCCTTCCCTTCCTTCCTCGCCTTCTCCTCCGCCTTCTGCTCCTTTGCCACCAGGCGGTAGTTGATGCCCATCCCGATGAAGAGGTAGATCCCAGAGATTATGAGGATGACCCCACAGGCCCAGTACGTGTACTTGTAGTCACCATACATGTCATTGAGCTTCCCTGAGAGACAAAGAGGGGACAGCTTAGTGAGTTACCCCCAGAACTGCTCCAAGTCATGGAGATGTTCCCAAAAAGCAGCCCAAGCCCATCAGCCTCAGCTCTGGGCCCCTGCTCCCCCACCCTGTGCCAGGGCCTTAGCCCCCACTTCCTCAGCTATCCCTCAGATGCTGAAGCAGCCTCAGGGCTGGTGCTTGCCCCCCTTGCCCCTGCCCCAATGCCAAAGGCTGCCCATGGCTTGGGGGACCCTCCACTGCTCAGCCAGGCTGGGCAGGACAGGCAGAACACCCAGGGCATGGCACACCCTACCTAGCAGAGGGGGTCCCAGAAGCACAGGGCAACACTCCACAATGGTCACCAGACCAACAGCACTGGAGAACCGCTGAGCTCCCACCAGGTCCATCAGGGTCTCAAACAGGACTGAGCTCAGCCAGCCAAAGGCAAAGCCAAAGAAGCCAGCATAAATGCAGAAGCCAGCATAGGTGGTGGACATGGGGGCCAAGAGGTGGCACACCCCGTTGTAAATCACAGAGATGGCAAAGAAATACTGGACTCTGGGTCTGATCCACTTGGTGTTTGCCACAAGTCCCATGGAAGGCCTGGCCACCATGTCTACAAAGGCCAGGATGGAGAGCAGGAAGGCTGCAGATTCACTAGCAATCTTCTTGCTCTTCGCATAATTGCTGAGGAAGACCAAGGGAGTGAACAGCCCAAAGAACATGATCACATTGCCTGACAGATAGAGCAGGAAGCCCCTGTGAGTGAACAGGGACAGGTCCAAGAATTTGTTGATGGTCTGGAAAAATGTAGTCTTCTCTTTCTTGGTCTTCCCACCAATGAGGTCTGTGCTGGTGTCACCATCATCCTTTTTCACTGCCTTCCCAGCTTCCTGCAGCACCTCCTTATTAGCCTCCTTCTTCAGCTGATCAGGCTTGGGGCCTATGGGCCGCATGAGGGATCCAGCCACACAGCAGTTCAGCAGGAGACCACCAAGGAGGAGGAAGCCCAGCCAAATATGCCAAAGAAGAGCTGGTTGACAGGTGCCAGGGTGGAGAGGAAGACAGGGCTGCCCGCCATGGCCAGCCCATTGGCCAGGGGACGCTTCTTGAAGAAGTACTTGCCAATCATGGTCAAGGCTGGGTTCAAGTTGAACGCGAGACCAAGGCCTGGAGGAGAGGAGAGACAAGGGGCTCAGAGCTCAGCCAACCTGCCAGCCAGCAGCACCAGCAGATGGGACCAACAGGGTATCATAGCTCTGCTTTGGCCAAGTTAACTTCAGCCCCCAGCCTCTGCTGTCAAGAGGAGGGACCAGGGCAGCAGCAGAGCTGCACACAGGAATCTGGGAGCCAAATGGGAGAATCACCCCAGCTCATGACAAGCCTGGGGGGCATAACCCCACCCCTGGGCATGGATGCTCTACTAGTCCCATGTACAGCCACTAGTTCCCCCCCACATCCTTAAGTCACCAGGGCCATCTCATCTTGGAACACATATAACAGGAATCAGGATTTATGCAAACTCATCACAGACATTCCCTGATAACTGCTGGCTGGAAGTTGCTCCTCTTGGTGCCTCAGGAGGGGACCTTCCTCCGTGGCAGCCCCATCAGGGCAGAGCTGTCACTTACCCCCCACGACCCCCACGCAGAAGTAGAGCTCCTCCACCGTGTTGCAGAAGGAGGCTGCGATCAGCCCGCAGCCCGACAGGCACCCGCCCGCAATCATGATGGGCCGGCTGCCGTACTTGTTCACCAGGATGCTGCTGATGGGGCCTGGGAAGTCCAAGGAGATATGACCAGAGATGAGTTGTCTTTGCACAAGAGACAAGGCAGATGCACACAAGCACACGGAAGGTTTGTTGCCACAAGCTCCTAGCTTTGGCACAGTGACATTTCACCCAGCCAGGGAACTGGAGTAAGGGGAAAGGACAGGAGGCTCAGACAGCTGGAGATAGGAGTGATGTTTGGTTAGAGCAGGCAGGACCCCAGAAGCAAGCCCTCAGCCAGTGCACTGCAGCTTCTGCCAAGCACCAGAGGCTCTTTATGGCTGCAGAAACCTGTGACTTCCGTGAGCAAGCTGCCTTCCATGGGCTAAGCCAGGAAATGTCAGGGCAGCAGCGAGCCCCCAGGGACAGGGGGAAGGCACTGGCTCTGAACAGTGCTCTGGGCTGGGGGCTCTGCCCTGCCCATGGCCACCTCGCAGCCCACCACAAGCTGGGGCTCAGCTGCCAAGCAAAAGTACAGCAACAGCTCATCTCCAGCCAGAGGCTTCTGAGGGAGACAAAAATTAGAAGGAGCAGCTTCAACAGGCACAACCAAGAGTACTCCAGGGCTCAGAGGAGCAGCACTGTGCTGCTCCAGGTAGCACTGGGTGCTTCTGCTTTCACTGCTATCCCTACAGTAGGAAAAGCCCAATTGCTCTGCAGACCCACCTTTTAAGTGCTTCATTATCAGCAGCCTTAATCCAAAGCAAACAGTGATTAGATACCACGAAGCATGCTCTACAGACACTAAAATGCATTTAAATAAACTGAATGAACATCTATTGAATATTAACAGACCTAGTTTTGCTATTAACAGATAGCAAGGTTGTCAACATGTTATTCATGGGTCCTCAGACGCTACTTGACCTTTCTGCTCAGTTTAAATAAAGCCTGGAGAAGGTTACAGAAGCCCTGATGCCAGAGGCTGCCCCCGGCCCCAGCCACCCTGCTCCCTGCAGCCAGCACGGCGTCAACATGTCGGCCAAAGCAGCCTGTGCCAGCAGCTCCAAACATGTCCCCTGCTCCACGAGAGGCAGCAGCAGGTCCAGGGGCTGCCACATCACCCCAAGCCCCATCTGCTTCCACACAGAGCACTCAGCACTTTTCAAAACCTGTACCTTGAACTCCATGATGCCCCTGGATGGAGTCTAAAGGCAGCAGTGGCCTTTCATCCAGGAAATCCAGCCTGGAGCAGAAAGCTCCAAGGACACTGAGCAGGAAATAGTCCAGCTGGGCAACACCATCTACACTGGTAGGTATTTCCTTTTTTTTTTTTTTAATCAAAAGAAGAAAAGAAAACCTCACACTCACTCCTGTTCTGCAGATTGGCATGACTCATTCTGGACCAAATATTACCTAACATATTTTGATTATTCATGCTGTGAAAAAAATTTAAGTAAGGGAACCAGAGTCCTTCGTAATCATAACGTGGAGCTGAAAAGGGTGCATTTGAGATTGTGACATCCTCATACCCTGACGGTGGCTGCACAGGGCAGCAGGACACCCTGCTCCACCACCCCAGCCCTGCCTGGGACAGGAGCTGCCCCAGCTCCACATGATACCATCAGCCCAGGATGTTTTGCCAGAACATGAGCTACTTTCTTTGCCTCCAAGCAAGCACACAGTTCCCACAGGAAGGTGCCAAGGGGACAGAGAGCATAGGATACACTGTGACCACTCCAGCACAATTCAGACCCTGCAAAGGGCCTGTGCTGCAGGAGCCCGGACAGAGCCAGCAGGGCAGCTGTGTGCTGCGGTGCTATGGCAGCCAGGGATGCACCTGGGCATGTCCAGGGTAGCTCCAGCATCAGGCAAGCAGCTCAAAACCAGTAAGCTGCTAGGATCCAACAGCAACAGCTGAAGAGGAGTGGGAGAGGTTGTGTCAGCACAGAGGGATGGGGACAAGGAGACAACACTAGGATGAGGCAGGTCCAGGCAGTGCCACCCGTGGGGCACCCAGAGGAACCAGCTCTGAGCTATTAGAAGAGGGGGAATGGCCCAGATTGAGCCTCATTAAGGCAGTTACATGGTTTACAAGCTTGTTATAACATCAGAGCAGGGAAATGTGCTGGTTGCCTCGCTAGCTGAGCGAGGACAAAGCAGAGACTGTTCCCCCAAGGAAAAGCCTCGTGCTCCGCCGGGCGCTGACGTCAGCCCCTTTCCATGCACAAATGCAACGAGGCTGCAGGCACTGGGCCAGCTGGGCATGGCAGCACTACGAGCTCCCATTTGCCTCTGAAGTGGACACGGCAGCAGGCTCTTAATAAGAGTTTCTTTCAGTCCAGCAACCCAGCACAAAGCTGCGCTTGCAGGCGGGCAGAGAACACTGAGGTCTGGAGAGCAGCGAGGGCCAGGAGCGCGTTGCCCGGCGGGCAGCACAGACAAGGATAAAACACAGCTTGGGGATTAAAAGACTTGGAGAAACAGTTTCTGAAGGATGGGGGAGGGGAGCTGCTTCAGTTTAAGTGGTTCAGCTTTTATTCTGCTCATGTCTCTGCACTCGAAGCGCACTCTGCCACCCTCAGAGCACAAGCTGCCTATGGCGCTGCTCAGCACCAGCGAGGAAGAACAGGCAGTGCCAGACTACACACCAGGGCACAGCTGAGCCACTGCAGCTGACTGGGGACAGATGCCTAGATACACCCACTGCTTCCTGGACTTAAAAATTTCAAAACCTCTATCTTATCTACAAGAACAGCCCATGAGCAGGGCTCCTACGCGTGGCAGAGCAGCTCCCTGGCCTTCAGCAGGCGCAGGAAGCAGACACAGTGTCCGCAGAGCGCTGTAACAAGGACAAGGGCAGCATTACACAAGTTCTAATTCCCCAGAAAGATTTTTATACTTACAGCTTTGCAGAAGAGGACAGATTAACCCAGTTTTTGCATTCTGGGCACTAAACAGAACTTTATAAGCAACCTCCTTCCTGCAAACTTACTAAGCAAAGTTTTGGTCACACATGAGAATTCCAACTTCTAACAAAATTTTGGGTCTTGTCACCACCACAAGCTGTGAATCATCAGACCCTGCAGGACAGCAGCATTCTATACACATGAGCACATATGCTGCTGCCTCTGGTCCACTTACCTCCTGCATACATAACAGCCAGCATGATGGAGGAGATCCATGAGACTTTGCTGCTGGAAGCATTAAAGATGACCTCAATCTCTTTGAAGAACACTGTGATGGATTTGGGGAAGGCATAGGAAAACCCAATGGAGATGAAGGCTCCGATGACAACAGCCCATCCCCACCCTCCCTCAGGAGGGGTGTATCCCACAGGGCCTCCGATGGCCGGTGGCATCTTGAACCAAGCTGGCGATGACTCTGGTGGAGTTCAAAGATCTGCAAAGAACAAAGTATTGTGTCAGCTGAAAGAAGACAGCTGTGCCCCTGCTCCCAGGTGTGCAATGGCAGGGCTGCAGCCCCACTGGCAAGGCTGGCACAGCATCCATGCCCCACACCATCTCTTGGAGAGCTGATCTGAGGGATGAGCCCTCAGGCTCACAAGACTAGCCCAAACGAAACACATCGTCAGATTGCAGCTGGCCTTAAAGAAACCTGGCCAGCAGGTATTTATGAGCAACAAATTTAAGACATGTCCTGTCCCCAGCTGAGAGGACAAGCAACATCCATGCCAGCAGCAGCCAGAGCACAACAGTGGAGAAGGCAGAGCTACCAGCAGCACAGCTGGACCCGCAGAGGGTGGAGCAGGGCAGAGCCCAGGATAGAGCCCTTGCAGCTTCTCCATGGGGGCAATTCCAGCACTGCCCCAGCACACCACAACATCTCAGGGTACCCATAGCAGGAGCAGCACCTCTGGGTTACTAAATGCAGACACACCAGGGGAAACACACCCCCACACAGGAGCCAAGACAATCTCCACTTCTGCAATAAAGGAGCAGGTGGGTGTCACAGCACAGCCCCAGCCTGGCTGCCCTAAAGGTCACAGGCTATGGCTAAACTTAGCCAGAACAGCGACGGGGCTCCTGCAGCTGCCAGTGCTGCCTGGGGAGGGGAGGTGGGTCTGGCCCCACTGCAGCCAACCCTCCACCCTGCAGAAAGGGGAACAGCCAGATCCACAAAGGCACCCAAGTGTAAAAACAATTCCCCTCAAAGCTCAAAACCAGAAGGGATTAGAAAACAAAATAAATGGGGAAACATCAGCCAGGCTTGCTAAGAGTGGAATCCCCTTAGAGAAGTCGATCAGGAGCAATGCAGAGGCCAGCAGGGTCAGGCTGCTCACCCCTGCCCCAGCTGCTGTGTGGCTGGATCCCACCCTGAGCTGGGGTAACTCGAAAAATGAGGCTGCTTCAGGCAGCAGAGAGCAGCTCAAGCCATCCCAGGGAGGAAATGCAGCCAGAGCAGCTGCTCACAATCGCGGCTTACAATATGCAAAACAACAGGAATTGCTACAGTTCCCAGAAGCTCCCATGTGCCCCCGCAGATTTCAGTAGACACTCTGACACCCCGTGGCCCTCCCTGGACTCAGAGGGAGAACCCACCCCTTGCTTTGCACTTCTCTGCCCTGCTGCTCTGATTTTCAAAGCCACTTTCAGGCAGGAATATGCAGACACACCAGGGGAAACACACCCCCACACAGGAGCCAAGACAATCTCCACTTCTGCAATAAAGGAGCAGGTGGGTGTCACAGCACAGCCCCAGCCTGGCTGCCCTAAAGGTCACAGGCTATGGCTAAACTTAGCCAGAACAGCGACGGGGCTCCTGCAGCTGCCAGTGCTGCCTGGGGAGGGGAGGTGGGTCTGGCCCCACTGCAGCCAACCCTCCACCCTGCAGAAAGGGGAACAGCCAGATCCACAAAGGCACCCAAGTGTAAAAACAATTCCCCTTAAAAGCTCAAAACCAGAAGGGATTAGAAAACAAAATAAATGGGGAAACATCAGCCAGGCTTGCTAAGAGTGGAATCCCCTTAGAGAAGTCGATCAGGAGCAATGCAGAGGCCAGCAGGGTCAGGCTGCTCACCCCTGCCCCAGCTGCTGTGTGGCTGGATCCCACCCTGAGCTGGGGTAACTCGAAAAATGAGGCTGCTTCAGGCAGCAGAGAGCAGCTCAAGCCATCCCAGGGAGGAAATGCAGCCAGAGCAGCTGCTCACAATCGCGGCTTACAATATGCAAAACAACAGGAATTGCTACAGTTCCCAGAAGCTCCCATGTGCCCCCGCAGATTTCAGTAGACACTCTGACACCCCGTGGCCCTCCCTGGACTCAGAGGGAGAACCCACCCCTTGCTTTGCACTTCTCTGCCCTGCTGCTCTGTTTTTCAAAGCCACTTTCAG